ATTTATTTAGCACCATTTGGGAGAAGGAGCTAGTCCCCCAGGACTTCAAAGATGCCCTGATTGTACATATATATAAGAGGAAAGGTGACCGTGCATGTTGTGATGGGCATCTCTCCGTTCTCTATAGCTGGTAAGATCCTGGCCCGTGTTCTTTACAATCAGCTCTTGCTACATGTGTTTAAAAATGGAATTATTCCTGAAAGCCAGTGCGGATTTCGTGCTGGTTGAGGCACTGCCAATATCATATTTACAGACAGACAGATACAAGAGAAATGTACCCTATGTCTACACTACCCCCCTAGTTCGAACTAGGGGGGTAGTGTAGACATACCCGTAGAGAGCAACATCAGGACCTCTATGTGATTTTCATTGATTTCACCAAGGTGTTCGACACAGTCAACAGAAATGGGCTCTTGAAAATACTTGGATGAATTGGTTGTCCTGAAAAATTTATCAACATTGTTTGGTCTCTCCATGATGGCATGCTTGGTTGAGTCCTTGACGATGCAAACACATCAGCACCTTTTGAAATATCAAATGGTTCAAAGCAAGGATGATAAATACCTGAACAGGGGTTTGCAAGATTAGAGCTCCAGTTTTTAAAATCTTTGAGTAAGGGATCCTTCTAGCCCTATGCTCAGTAAGGACTTAACCATACTGATAGACTCAATCCATGTGCAAAATAATAATACTAAAACATTTTTACAAACTCTTCTAAAATATCCTCATTCATTTCTTGTGGAAAAATATTTAATTATAGATATGGTAGGAACACTTAGCAGATACCAAGTTAAATAATTAAAGGGACAGTGTCAGCAATTTAGGTTTTGTTAAAGATGTATATCTAGTTGGCCTGTCTGGAAAGAGCCCAACACTCCAATGGTTACTGCTGCTGGTACAGTCCTTAAGTCTGTCGACAAGTTCTGCTACCTGGGAAGTGTATTGTCCTCTAGCATAAATGTGGATCATGATGTATCTACTCGACTAGCCAAAGCCAGCGCTGCCTTTGGAAAACTGACCAAATGCCTGTGGAATGTCCATGGTATTAAACTCCATGCCAAGATAGAGGTTTATCAGGCAGTTGTTCTGAATGTCCTGCTGTATAGCTTGGAGTCATGTACAATATATCTTTGTCATGTTTTGAAGCTCGATCAGTTCCATATGCATTGTCTGAGGAAGATTGCCCATGTGAACTGGTGGGACAAAATTCCTAATACAGAGGTTCTTAAGCTGTATGGTGTCATGGGCATGGAAGCAATGCTTATGAACAAACAGTTTTCCTGGATTGGTCATGTTATGAGGGTGGATGATACACGGATACCAAAGATGGTCTTCTATGGCCAGCTTGCTCACTGAAAGCACTCTATCGGTGGTCAATATAAGTGCTATAAAGACATATTAAAGGCTAATATGAAGTCACAAGGCATATCTCCCAATGATCTGGAAACTAGTTCAGGCCAGAATGTCCTGGTGACAAACCATTGTACAGGCTCTTAATTGCTTTGAGAGTCAGCATATCCAGGTATTGCAGGAAAAGTGGAGGATCCGAAAAGAACATACAGCACCTACAGTTGGCAGCTTTTTATGTGACATCTGTAATCAGCTCTGCCGATCAAGGATTGGTTTAGTTGATCATTAAAGGCGTCATAGACAATGAGATCTGTTGATTGACTGGTCAGTCCAATAGCATAGCACTGTTTAATGCAGGTAACAATAAGGTTTGAAACTCATTGCAATGAGATAGTTTGACCTATGCTACGTTCCGTTAGTGAAATTAGCCATTGGTCTGTCTTGTGGAAGTTCCGAGGTCTTTCCTAATAAAATGCAAGAGATCTTCTCACATCTAGTGAATGAAGGATGGTCTCGCGAGTGCTCTCATGTGGTTTGGAGTACAAAGATGGGAGTACAACTGGCTTGTTTATATGGAAGTCTGAGCCAGCCTTCGGAAGGAAGGATGGGTGTGGACATAACGTGACTCTATCACTGCTGAAGATGTTGTATGGTGGAATCGCCATCAAGGCTATCTCCCCAACTCTGCAAGCAGAAGTAATGGCTAGCAGAAATGTAACTTTAAGCATCATCATTGTAAGTGGAACAGTTACTATCGGCTCAAAGGAAACACGGGTTAGAGTGTCCAAAACTAGTTCCAAGTTCCACTCAGGAGACAGTAACCTTCACAGAGGATACAAGTTGGAGAGACCCTTGAGGAACCTATGTATGGTAGGAGGTGAAAATACTGAATAACCAGCCACTGAGGTGTGGAAAACAGTGATGGCTGCTAGATGTACTTTCAAAGACACTAGAGCTAACCCTGTTTCTTTTAACTGTAGGCTGTAGTCCAAGATGGCATGCAAAGGTGCAGTACGTGGATCCAGTTTCCTAGCGATGTACCAGTATAAGAATATGTGCTATTTCTGCAAAGCCCCCCTCACCAGCCCCAGCTCCAGACTGCTCGGGCCCCAGCTCCACTCTCTAATGCACTGCCTTCAGCCCCTGGGCTGCTTCTCTGGCCCCTCTGGCTACGTGCCGGGAGCCCTACTCCCAGCTCACCTATTGTCCCCCTCATGAGCCTGCCAGCCCTGTCAATCAGGCTGTCTTGGAACATGGCCAGTCCCAGGGTCCTGATAGCCCACTGTCTCTTCCCATTTGTTTGGGTACTGGGGGGAGTTCACCAACCAACCCCTTCACACTGAGCTTTAGCCAGCAGGTTGCTTACACATACCGAAAGAGCAGAGATGCTCACGGGTGGGCAAAGGGGACAATTGCTCCAGGGCCCAGTGTTTTTAAGGGGTAGGGTTGCCAGGCATCCAGTTTTGAACTTTCTGTTTGAGCTTTCTGTTTGGGAAACAAATTGCAAAAATACTGGACATATAAGTAAGTTTTATATTATGCACCATGCGGGCTGTGAGGGGCTTCAATCCCCCCCACCGCTCTGCCTCTGCCCCCCTCATTTCACGACAGTAAGTGAAATGAGGAGTAACAGTTAATTCGAACTAAGGAGTTAGTTCGAATTAATGTTTAATTGCCGTGTCTAGCCGCGAGCAGTTAGTTTGGACTAAGGGGGATTTAAAAATGGCGGCGCCCGGGAACATACAAATGAAGCCCAGGATATTTAAATCCCGGTCTTCATTTGCAACTCCGGTTGCCCTCATTTGCCTACCTAGCTCAAACTAACGAGCTACTGTAGACATACCCTAAGGGAATAAGAGGAAAGTGCACAAGCTTGTGCCTTCCTCTTGCTCTTGGCTGCCCAGGGGAGGGCAGAGGAGGCAGCAGCAAGCTATGCACTTTCCCCTCGCTCCCTGATGGTCAGAGGAAGGAAAAGAAGAGCAGCAGCAACCCAGTATGTGTGACTGCATCACCTTGCCCTTCACCCCAGACTCACCCCTACACATCCCAGCCTCCTGCCCTGACTCCTGAGCTCCCCACCTATTCAGCCCCAACCTCTGACTCCTGGTGCACGTCTATATTGAAGAGCAAAAGTCAAATTAAGATACACAACTTCAGCTGTGTTAATTGTGTCGCTGAAGTCAAAATAGCTTACTGCTGCTTTTGGTGCTGTTTTCACAGTAGGAAGTAGAAGGAGGAACACTCTTCCTTTGACTTCCCTTATTCCTCGTGAAACGGGGGTTTCAGAAATTAGAGTAAGATGTCTGCCATCTTGGCTTGCTGTATATACATGTACTTTGTTAATGGGAAGTGACTGTCTGGAAAAGGAGTATGGCAGAAAGGGATCTAGGAGTTATAGTGGACCACAAGCTGAATATGAGTCAGCAGTGTGATGCTGTTGCAAAAAAAGCAAACATGATTCTGGAATGCATTAACAGGTGTGTTGTGAGCAAGCACTGGTTAGGCCTCAGTTGGAGTATTGTGTCCCGTTCTGGGCACCACATTTCAAGAAAGATATGGAGAAATTGGAGAGGGTCCAGAGAAGAACATCAAGAATGATTAAAGGTCTAGAGAACATGACCTATGAAGGAAGGCTGAAAGAATTGGGTTTGTTTAGTTTAGAAAAGAGAAGACTGAGGGGGAAACATGATAGCTGTTTTCAGGTATCTAAAAAGGTGTCATAAGGAGGAGGGAGAAAACTTGTTCATCTTGGCCTCTGAGGATAGAACAAGAAGCAATGGGCTTAAACTGCAGCAAGAAAGGTTTAGGTTGGACATTAGGAAAAACTTCCTGACTGTCAGAGTAGTCAAACACTGGAATAAATTGCCCAGGGAGGTTGTGGAATCCCCATCTCTGGAGATATTTAAGAGGAGGTTAGATAAATGTCTATCAGGGATGGTCTAGAAAGTATTTGGTCCTGCCATGAGGGCAGGGGACTGGACTCGATGACTTCTCGAGGTCCCTTCCAGTCCTAGTATTCTATGATTGTATGATTTTGAAATAATGCCGCAGTGTAGATGTGCCCCCGCAAAGCCCACATCCTCAGTCCCCTGCCCTGAGCCCTCCTTACCCCCAACCTCCTGTCCTGACTCCTGCACTCCCTGCATCTCCAACAGATACCCTGAGTCTCCCACACACACACTAACCACCTACTCTGACCCTCCCACTCTCTCCCACACTTAAATTTCGCATAGATCCTGTCATATTGCACCCTCCAACACCCTGCCCTAACCCCCCCCCCCAGGGGGTGCAATATGACACGGACTCCCCATGTGACCTTTCCCAAGTCTTTGCCCTTCCAGAAGCCAAATTTCCTCAGATGTGGATGAAGACAATGGATGAAGACAGATCCATGGGAGGGCCGTGGGGTTTAGCGAGTACAGGGCTGGAGGAAGCAAGCTTCATGGCAGCAGATCCTCTAAATATTCTGACTGTGTGTGTAGGACTCCATGGTATCACTGCAGCCATAGAGCCTGGGGCTCGGGAGAAAGTAGGAATAGAGGATGGACAAGCAGAGCTGCTCTCACCTACGGGCCGCTGGAGAGCCAGAGTTAGCCTCTCACACCCAGATGCCCTCACTCCCCTCCACAACCCCTGCATCAGACATTTACCTGTGCAGCTGAAGGGGGTACCAGGCTGGCTGGGAGGGACGTAGCCTGCCCGGCAGGTCCAGGTGTAACTGCCCAGCGTGCTGTTGCAGATGGAGGTGGGGCCGCAGAATGATGGATAGTGGGAACATTTGTCAATATCTAGGGGAGAGAAGAAAGAGTTATTCACCTTGTGCAGTAACTGTAGATCTTCAAGGTGTGTGTCCCTATGGGTGCTCCACTCGGAGTGCTGGTGCGTCCTCGTGCCAGCAACTGGAGACTTTTCCAACAGTTTCCACTGTGCCATGCATGCGCTGTGGCACCCTCTTGTGCTGTTGGAATCCGTTAGGTGTGCACGTCTTCTCTACCCAAGCAGGGGAAGGAAGGAGGGTAGTGGAGCATCAATGGGGACACATACCTCGAAGAACTATTGTTACTGCACAAGGTGAGTAACTTTTTCTTCTCCTTCGAGTGATGTCCCCGTGGGTGCTCCACTCTGGGAGTATGTCTACACTACAGCACTAATTCGAACTAACTTAGTTCGAATTACTTAATTCAAACCAAGCTAATTTGAATTAGTGCGTCTAGACTTAAAAACTAGTTCGAATTAGCGTTTTGCTAATTTGAACTAGCACGTCCACACTGATTGGACACTGGGGCGCACTTAAGGGCAGCTGAAACCAGTTCCAGCAGGGCATCAGGTCAGTAGTTGCTTTGTGTGGCTGCTGTCTGAGACTATCTGAGGCTCGTGCTTAAAGGGACCCCCCTGAACAGCCTGTTCTCAGCTTTTTCGCTTGCTTGCCAACCTTGTCGAGGGACAGCAAAGCGTTTTTCTCTGCGCCTGTCTGTGTAGGTGGCTCCCTTTGGGGACGCCGCCGCAGTTGGCAACATGGAGCCAGAGCTGGCTCTGGGCTTTCTGGTGCAGTTTTTGGACTTGCTGCTGCAAGGCTGCCAGCAATGGATGGAGGCTGCCTTGCACCAACTGGTGCATATCAGCCCCCTTCTCTCCCCCTGGCCTCCCTGGGGGTCATGGAGGAGTGGCAGCAGCGCCCGGATGCCAGTGTGCCCTGCCGCATCTGGCATCTGGACACCAGCAGCGACTGGTGGGACCGCATCATCCTGGAGCGCTGGAGAGACCAACAGTGGACCCAGAACTTCAGGATGAAGAAGGTCACCTTCCTGTAGGTCTGTGAGTGGCTTGCCCCTGCTCTGCAGTGACGGGACACTCGCATGAGGCCCGCCATCCCCCTCCAGAAGTGTGTGGCCATCGCCCTCTGGAAGCTCACCAGGGCCCACATTGTGGTCGA